GTAGTTTAGAAAATTTCAATGTTATTTCTATTCAATTAGAGAATGATATGTAGTTTAGAAAATGTCATTTTTTTTATCTTCAGTACGCCAGATACGGATGCTCATCGAATCTTCTTATCTAAAAAACAACAAATTGTGCAGAAACGTTAATTATCAATGTTGTAGAACAACATCTAAAAGTTTGGAAAGTCTTGTTTGTTTAATGTTATTATGCTTATAATTTTATTAAACTGTACTCATTTAAACATTCATTGTATTGAAATAAAAATTAATTTTTACATATATAGCTTAGACTTTAAAGTAGTTTGGAACTGAGTTTATTCTAAACGTTTGAAAATGCATTACGTGCATTCCCTTCGTGAACTGAGCCGGCCGTGACACAGTGGCTAACAAACTCGGGGACAGTGAATCCGCTAGTTTATTGTTCAAGGAACATTGTCGCAACAACGCGGTCCTCACTCTGGGACAGTAGGTGCGCTAATAGGGTGACGGTCAAATTCCACTATTCAGCCTGACAAGAGTAACCCACGATCTGGGGGTTGAGTGTCGTTCATTTGTTGTCTGTTTTGTTTGTTTGTTTGTAATTAAGCACAAAGCTACACAATAGGCTATCTATGCTCTGCCCACCACGGGTATCGAAACTCGGATTCTAGCGTTGTAAGTCCGCAGACATACCGCTGTGCCATTTCACTAGTTGTCTCCCTTCTATCTAGTTTGTAATTTCAAAATTAAGGGCGGATAAATGTAGCTTGGCGCGAAAATTCTGAAACAAACAAATCAAGTATTTACGTTAAGATTGTGACGATTGGATATCAACCGTTGTCATGGTTGGAGTCTACTATCAGCCGAGTTTAATTATTAATTAGTTATTTTATTAATAGATACTACTTACTAACTATTTTATCTTACATTTTGACTACTGATCTGCTGCCGTCTTCTGGGAGGTTTTGAGAAAGACTGTTTCTGTAAACCGGGGTTCGATCTTGAAGGTTATTAACAGAGAGGCTATTCGTCTGAAGGTCTCCCCATAAGGACGTGAACTATAACTAACTAATTGGAATGCTTTCAAGAGGGATATATGCGTATGTAGTGTGTAATTAGTTATGTGGATGTAGAAGGTTTACATTTATTGTGTTTTGTTACTTTATTACAATGTTACTCCAGATCGGATTACAGGGTCTTGTATGTCTGTTATTCTCCTGAGCTGTTAATGTCATGGCTTCTGGATACTGTTCTGACGTTATGCTGTTTGCTGTAAGAGAGAGGCCTCTGTCATACATATATAATGAAATATGGTTGTATGTTTGTAAGTTTTTCCTGTTCATTTTCTTTATCCAATTTTCGGAGTGCCCACTAGCTGACAAATATAATGTGTTTTCTACCATCTTCTTAGTATATTCGGAATTACAACTCTTGTTCATCGTGGAAACTGGTAGGCAGTCCATATTAGATTGGTTTGGTTGAAAGTCAACAACAATCTCTCATTTCTAGATTAAACTATTGACAACAACAATCTCTCATTTTTAGATGAAACGATTGACAACAACAACAACCTCTCATTTCTAAATGAAATGATTGACAACAACAATCTCTCATTTCTAGATTAAACTATTGACAACAACAATCTCTCATTTTTAGATGAAACGATTGACAACAACAACAACAACCTCTCATTTCTAGATGAAACGATTGACAACAACAACCTTCATTTTTAGATGAAACGACTGACAAGTCTCAGATACCACAATAATTTACAGATGCAGATAAATACTCCGTCAATCATTTCATTTAGAAATGAGAGGTTGTTGTTGTCAATCGTTTAATATAGAAATGAGAGGTTGTTGTTGTCAATCGTTTCATCTAAAAATGAGAGATTGTTGTTGTCAATAGTTTGATCTAGAAATGAGAGGTTGTTGTTGTCAATCATTTCATTTAGAAATGAGAGGTTGTTGTTTCCTAATTCCATTGGGAATTGCATCATGGAACGTTGTCTGTTCAAGTGGTTCATGAATTTTTCAATTTTGTCTATAGATAGTGTGTGGCCATATTGCCAACATATATGAGCCAAAACCTGAGAATTAAACGACTGTTATTCTATGTAGAGGTTAGTGAGTTCTGGTGATAGAGGTGAGTCCATAGCTAGGCCTTCTGCATGTTGGAAGTATGTTGCGAGTTCAGTTGGCACAGGGTATCTGTAGTGTTTCAATGGTTATTACTTTAATGAATAGGATGGATACATCGAGACTGATCATTGCATCTTGTAAGATTATCGTGCTTGTTTTTATACTCTCTACAAAGTAGACTGAGTTCTTGACATGTTACAATGTTTTACTTGTTAATGATGATATTACATCATGTTAAAGGATGGCAAGTTGAATCTGCAGTAAACTAAAGGATAGATAGGGTAGCCTTGCTTGTGTATTAAGTATTGAGGATAATTTGACTGTTTCTTTTTTATGTTTATTGAGGAATTGGTTAGTCTTTTTTTTTCTGTACTAGCTGTTAATCTTCGAGTAGTGGCCATCTTCAACTGAGCTTGAAGCTTAATGGTTTATTCTTATCTGTATGTGTGTGGTGGTACTAACCCTAGAAACAGTTCAAATACTCTTAAAATGTAATTAAACTTGTTTAATGATATTGTGATATTTTCCTATCTTGCATTTATAAATTAAGTGTGCGAGTTAGTCTTTAACATCATTGGGTGTTAATAAGTGATTTCACCATAAATCCTTCGGGAAAAACGTTATGTTGTTCACATTTACATAAGGAGAAAATGAGATAATTATCTGTTTTAGCAAATTTATAGTTAAGTATTTTTATATCCCTGAATTGTAAGACCGTACCGGATCTTTAAGTACACACACTCTCCTACGGTTGTGGCGATTGGATATCAATTGTTATCATAGCCAGTAACTTATACGATAACTTAAATCCAATTATTAATTAGTTAGCCAATCATCCTAGCAAAAAAAAAAAAAAATGTCAGCCAATCGTGAATATCCGTCATTAAACCATTCAACTAATCTAGTTGATATATATTCTAATAGGATATACCCCCACACACATAATTAACAAGTACAGAAATAATCGTCCTCGGGAAAACCCTGAAGACGACAGCAGCTTATCAGCCGAAACGTAGGATAATTTGTTTTCCTAATTTCGCGCAAAGCTATTCGAGGGTTATCTGCTCTAGCCGTCTCTAATTTAGCAGTGATAAACTAGAGGGAAGACAGCTAGTCAACACCACTCACTACAGCTCTTGGACTACTGATTTACCAACGGATAATTTGATTAACCACGAATTTATAACGCCCCCACGGCTGAAAGGGAGAACATGTTCGGTGACATGGAAAGAAACCCACGTAGGATAAAACAAACCAGTAATTAGTATCGAGTAATAATACATAGTAGTAACTTAAGTATCTTATAGGCTATTAACTGTATTAATGAAACAACTATTATTTTATTTGTTTCCTTTCACGTTGTTTTAAATGAAATATTTTAAATCACTTACTTTAAATCACATTGTTGCATAGTATTGTTAAAGTTTTTTTAACGCTATCATATTCTCAACTTATTTGAAATATAATTATAATTCACGTGAAGAAAAGGGTTATTATTTCGCGCCAAGATCTTACGTCTATCGTTATTTTATCTTCAGAAAAGTAATTTATTTATTCACGATGGGCATGGAAACAAACAAAAAATTGTATATAAAAAATGTAATCGGTACTTCCTCATTGGTTGGATCGTTGGTTGGCTCTGTCGTAGAGCTCTGTATTTCGGAGCTGGTGAGCTGAATTTGAATCGACACGATACCACAAATCAGTACTCACCGCACTTTATGCACTGGGTGCGTTATAAAAGTGGCAGTCAATCCCTTAGCGTGGATGGTGATGGTGGTAGAGTGCAGCTGACTAGCTGTCTTTCCTCTGATCAGCAGGTCAAAATTAAGGATGACTACAGATATCCTTAGTAGCGTTGCCATAAATACAAACACAAATTCTAAGCTTTCCAAAACACCTAGAGTATGATACATTTTGAACAAATTGTAAATAATTTATTCAAAGATGTCGGTAGAAGCAGTGAACATTGTTCAAGTTCATCCTTAGGTTGCTGAACCGAATCAAAACCGGTGTGTGTTATCCATGACTAATCGAAACCAGTGTGCGTTGTCAATGACTGAAATCTCTGTCATGCTATTCGAATATATTTTGGTCTATAATTGTTGTTGGAGAAGCCCTTATCCTTCAGAGAGGAATGGGGAATTGTGGGATGGATTGGTCAATAGCAATGTTCAAGTACACTCTGGACTTTATTTTACAGAAACAAAGGATCCAACCTCTGCCACAACAGCGTTCCCCACATTACAACACAACCCCTGTCACCTTGAACAACAGTGCGAGGGTCAAGTGATTAATGTTGGTTTTCTCCGTATTTTTACGCTGTCATCAATTTATAATAGCATAAAATACAATTCAACATTCTTCATAGTTTACGCTCTGAGCATTTATGAAGCCATGATTTTTGAGATCAGTGGTGCTCCGATTGACAGCAGAGATATTCCTTTTCGATTCTTCTTGCCGGTATATTCTAATGACGGCTTTATTTCATCAGATGGTCAAGGAATTAGTATTTAATGATGATGCACCTGATAAATGGACACCCCCCATCGTGCCCTATGTAAATCAGTGAGATATTGTTTTTCAGACTAGCCGTCACTCTACTACATTTCTGAATATGTAGAATCCGAGTAATCACCTTACACATCACACACGATCATTCTTTGTGTTTGCATAAATAAATGTATTGTTCTATGGAAGAAAACAGAATATTTTTTAAAAACTAGAAACAATGTCCAATACTACACAACATGCTACTGCGTAACAAATTTAATGATTTTTGGGCAATTTGAATTTTAAATGAATTGCTTATTTTTTTCGTTTGGACATGCTTACTTTCCAAACAACCAATACATCTATATTTCTGTGTCTTTGTAGCACAGCCAAGAAGTTACGAGGCAAGCCCGTTCATATTCACGAACACCGGTAAGGTGATTCTTGTTTTTATACAGTACTTAATAATTCAGTTTGTAACAAGTATATCTTCATCTTTTCTTCATTATTCTCATGATCACGAGCATTCAGTCTGGAAATTAAAATTATCGTATGAAAATATCTCTTTAAAATTTTGATTTTCAAAAGTTCGCACACAAACCGTTTTGTTGATACTTTAATTTTTACTTGTTTAATTTGAGAAAAACAGATTTGTTTCATTATTTTGACAAATCCAAATTCGCACGGTTGCGTGCATGTGTCTGGATGAGATTTTGTTTTTCTGAATAATTTTGATAATTGTTTTTCCTGATAATTACGTAGTTATGTGAGAACCACTATAATAAACCACAACAAATAATACAATGTGATGTGAGACCATAATAAAGTTTTGAGAATGGTTTCTGTGATTTCTATCTCTCGTTAAGTTAGTAGGTTGAGTCTTCCGAATCGTACAATTGTACTTAAGCAACTGATAATCATTAAGAAAGTGGTTTTATTTACAGGAAATATCAGAAGCCCGGTCCGCTGACATCCCAAGTCCAAGGTCAGTACAAAATTATCGAAAACTAGTTGTCTTGTAACCACACAAGCTGAACAGTCTTTCTCTGTTATGTTGTAAATACTTCATCTGTATCTCTTGTTACTTACTATCTTTTGAGCAAAAAATCAAAATAGATTGTACTAATCATTAAGAAAAGTGCGAATTTTCAAAGAATATTGCAAACTAAAAAGGAGTATTTTGTGACTGAAAAACAAAAACAAACCAAAAAACAATTCTGATACAATGATACTGCTGTTATAATATGCCATAGGTAAAACGATCAGACCAAACATTTATTACAGAACCACGATCTTGTACGAGGACACAATAACTCAATAAATAGTGTGCAGGATGATAACAAAGCGGCTAACTAGCCTGAATTAAACTCACAGATAGTGTAATTTTTCCTAGGCTAAATGTTCACATAACGCTAGATTCATTAAATTGATAAACATCCACTAGATTCATTAAATTGAAAAACGTCCATTGATCAGGATCGTATACACATTTACAGCTATTTATTTTGTATCATCGAGCTTAAAAAGCATAAGAATTTGTTGTAATTTTCCACCATTTATTACAGTATGTTATACAAATAATTATTATTTAGCATTTTCAATATTTTATGTAACTTAAATTCACATAAAACTTAGAGTAAAAATTAGGTATGTTTTCTCTAGGAATTGTCATAAGTAAATACTTTTTGTTGTTGCTGTTTTTACAGGACACAAGAGAAGTTGCCACGATTTATCATGGATATAACTTACATCACTGAACGTATCATAGGTGGGTTGATACCGACAACAATGTCCGAAATTTTCAACCTTGTTATAATACCTAGATATTTTTAAAATTCTTGTTAAGATTTTGAATTTGTTGGCTTTAGAGTTATTTTGTATTCCAATTCTGCCTCATCACTACAAGTCATCCACTACAAAAGGATGCTAAACGTTTCTCACCACCATCATATTTCTAAGTACCACCTTTAGTGCGATTCTTTCCAAGTTATGTTTATGTTTCACTAACAGACTTTTATATAATAACTAGCAGATGCCAGTTGAAACAATTAAACTGTTGCATTGTTGGCACAAATGTTTGGGTTTCGATGCAATGGTTCCATCCAGCACAATAGAGCGCTCAGGTTCGCTGAGTATTCGCAGAGATTTTTCCGCTAGATGCCACTGTTACTTGTCATTTACTGAGCGCAAGAAAAGACCACTATCGAAGTGAGCGTATTTTGACAGCTGTCGTTTCTATAAAACGTTTCAAAGGGGGAGATATTCAATTCAATTTATTCGACATGTTACAATAAAATAATGCATGAATCTAATTCCAACATAAAAAAAATAATATATTCGAAATATTTCTTTCAATCAATCGACAGAGGAAGTTCCGTTCTTTTCTTTTTTGTTGTTGTTGTTTTCTTTGTTTCATAAAATTCCCTCACAAAAAGAAACATTTTCGTTTTTAATAAAAAAATTTTCTCAGATTGACTATTCACCACATATGAAGATTGGTGTATCGATGCTGATAGCTATAACAAAATTTAGAAATTTCAGAAAGTGAATAATTTTCCTTTAATATATTTCCTTTAATAAGCATTTTAACATATAATTTTTTTTTCTACGATTAACTGTTCAGGAGATACTGAGCATGACAGACAGGCACTTGGTTATTAGATATGTAGATTGACTGGGATGTCATCAGCCTTTCAGAAATATGTGGAAAAGACCTTTTATTAAGTCAGTGGCAAATCAGACCTAATAATGACAAAACCTTATTGAAAAATTGTACATTTGTTACTATGCTAAACTTGTTTTCTTAATTACCCATTCAAACCGTCTTCAAACTTTATCAGTGGTAGGTCACGACAGAGGTTAATTGGAGACATCCTGGTTAGGAGACTGCTTTGTCTTACACAAGTGTTGGCTGTTTGATTGCCAAGTTTTGTTTTGTGTTTGAAACTGGTTCTATGGCGGATCGTAAACACAGTGGAAGACTGATCTTACAACATAAGACTTTTTCTTTAGATGAACCATCAAGCACTTGGTTTTTTTTCACACATCTGAAATATTTGAAGCAGTTAATCATAATAGGCCACGCAGTCGTAATAACGCCAACGCAACGTGAGCCAAAGATTGATTGATATCAACGGTGTACATCTTTAACAGCTTTAACTGCAAGACTTACAAACATAACGGTCTTGCGTGGCTTTTGCAACGCTCCGTAACCCTCCAACAGTCCTAACATAATTGACCTAATTCCTTCACAATAGCAATACTGTTCTCCAGCGCTGTATTACGAGGTCTGGTTAATTATAGGAGGCATCATGAACTAACTGAACCAAAATATTCTTACTTTACTTGTATTCCTAATCTCTGTCAAACAACCATTGTTCGTTTGCTTACATGAAGATAAGAAAGTTCATACACCCTCAAGTCATTCCTTCATGTGCATAAAAGTAACCCATTAATATTTACTTGTCCGACTTAATGGGTTCAGCTCTTCAGCAGCCTGAGTAATAAGATGTGTTTGGCTTCTATTCCTAACACAATTATCCCTTTAAGGTCTATATATACAGTCTCTTTCACTTTAGTTTTACGTTAAAACTCTCATATTACTAACAATATATATATATGTATATATAATTTTTCATCTCACGTGCTTCACCACAATGCTCTCAGCCTCAACAGCAACCTTGTCTTTCAGTTTCACACTACAGTTCTAACAATATTTGTCTTCCTATAGCCTCAATAGTAATCTTGTCTTTCAGTTTCACACTACAGTTCTAACAATATTTATCTTCCTCTTGCCTCAATAGTAATCTTGTCTTTCAGTTCCACACTACAGTTTTAACAATATTTATATTCATCTAGCCTCAATAACAATCCTGTCTTTCAGTTATACATGCCCCCAGTGGCACAGCAGTATGTCTGCGGACTTACATTGCTAGAAACCGGGTTTCGACAACCGTGGTGAGCAGAGCACAGATAGACCTTGTGTAGCTTTGTGCATAATTAAAAACAAACAGACAGTTCTACACTACAGTTCTAACAATATTATCTTTTTTCCAGCCTCAGGAGCAATCTTGTTTTTCAGTTTTACATCAAAACCAACTTACAAACCGAACATTATTATCTTCTTCCAGTCGAAGTATATTATTAACTTCTTGAATTACACTGTATATCGAACTTTTCTATATTCTTAAAACTTTTGTCTTCTAATAACTCCAATACTACTTTCTTCCGAAATCCTTCTGAAAAACTGATACTGTTGCCAAAGCACGACTCGAACACTATAATACTTTATAGGAACCTTCGTTGTTATCTTCCCGTAACCATGGCAAATCGAGGTTCTGCTTGGGTCCCTTCACTGGTATATTCCTGTAACCATGGTAAGTCCAGGCTCTACTTTGGGTCCCTTCACTGGTATATTCCTGTAACCATGGTAAGTCCAGGTTCTACTTTGGGTCCCTTCACTGGTATATTACTGTAGCCATGGTAAGTCCAGGTTCTCCTTTGGGTCCCTTCACTGGTATGTTACTGTAGCCATGGTAAGTCCATGTTCTGCTTAGGCCTATTCACTGGTACCTTCATGTAGCCATGATTAGGCAAAGTTCTGTTTGGGTTTCTTCACTGATACCTTCCCGTAGCCATGGTAAGGTAGCAATAATTAGTTAGCAAAATACGATTTATAAGAATAATGACGTGATTTATTTTGGGGGAATATACTACTACACGTTTCTTCTCCCCCCCAAATATATCACTTCATTGTGCTCATGATTCGTTGTTTGCTAGCTTGTTATTATATTAGTATAATATGCTTTCTTGCTGAAGTATGGTTAGATAACGTTCTGTTTGGATCCTTTCACTAGCACCTGTCTGCAACCATAATTAGGCAAGGTTATGTTTGTATCCCTTCAGTAGTACCTTACCATAGCCATGGTAAGACGAGGATCTGGTCATTGTAACGCTTTACGTGCATACTCGTCTTTTGTTTTTCAATATATATCCAATAGAATTTAGGATGAAAGGATAAATGGCTCATTTTAAATAGATATGATACATGAATATACAATATTGTAACTTATGAAACCACTATGCATACTAAGGACACTATTTGCATACTATCTTATTAATTTTTGTGAGTGTATATCGAATCAGACTTTATCAGATATTAAAACTACTAATTTTTGGTGAACTAATTCGAATCTAGAGAATTAAAATTGTTAACTTTGAGTAGAGAAGTAAATATTATATATAATATTTCCTTCAAAAAAAATGTGATGATGGACTTGCGCACTTTGAGGTTCAGTTGGTTTTAGCTTTTAATATAATATTTATTTTATATTACATATATATATATATATTGATCTTCAACTTTTTTTTTTCTTTCTCCAGTTCTGACTTTCCCAGAGTCAGGAACAGATGCTACATATCGAAGTAACCTTAAGGAAGCAGCGCGCATGCTCCAAACGAAACATGGCGATAAGTACAAAGTAAGTTTTTGAACATGCGCAATAAATGTCAGAAGAACTAAATAAAACGAAAATCTGATATTTATTGCTAAATATCGATATTAGTTTTAAGTTAATTACCACATTTACCTTTAGGTAATATCATCTTTATGAAATCTAATCACCATTGTTTTGTACGGCAGAATTAAAATATTATTTTCTTGAATTAAATTCTCAACACGAAGTTATTTCAATGACAGTAATTCGTGACAAATAATACGAAACGAAATTTTAATAATAATAGTTATTTAGCTTTTATGAAAGGGGCTTCAGTTTCTCATTTTAAGAGCAGGTTCAAAATTTGAAAGATAACATAAACCCAGAAATATTTGGAAGTTTACGTCATGAGACACGGCAAACTCCCAAAATTTACATTTTAAGGCGTGAAGTTTCTGGCTTGTAACTATTTTCTCTAGAATCATTAATTAATAAGACATAAACCTTGAACAATATCGTTGTATTATTTAGGTCGACTTTCTCTATTTTTATAACCGACTCTAATAAGCATGTTTTTACTTTTTTCGTTTTTTTTTTTAATGGCCGTGATGAAACGTACAAAATCTATGTTTCAAGCAATTACAAGTTCTTAAAAGCGTTGATTTGTGCTCTGCCTATTGCGAGTATAAGAACCTAATTTTTAGCATTATAAGCCCTCAAACTTACTCTGACCCACCGGGGAGTGCTAAAGTGTCGAAACAGTGCATTTTACATAAGACTAATCCTAATAAATTATAATGAGTGAAGAAATCATACCGTAGATGGGAGTGGGGAGTGACCCTATGACCAAAAGTATTAGGTGAAATCTTTCATTCTCTATGTAAATTACATAGAAGTTTAGCATTAATTAGTGGAATTCATTGCAATATTAATAATCGAAACTTCTGGATTAACTTAGAAAAATATGAAATAGATTTCAATAAAATATTCTGTTTTTTTTATGATAAAAGAAATTTGATTTTGAATATCTTACATGCACACATCTATTTATTCTTGTTTCATGTTTATCATCATACATACATGAATTTCTGGTATGACTGGATGTGAATATCAAGTTTTCTGTGAATTTGAGTTTTTTCGTTTGTTTCAAAACCATTCTTATGTCTGAATATTGCAATATATTAGTGGTTTGTAAACTTGTTTGGTTTCGGACCACCTAGATTTTGTTTCTTTTCTCAGGAATCTTTCCACTAACCACCTGAAATACTGCGTTAGATTTTCAATAGATAACAGAGTGAAAACTTTTATAGTTTAACAAAACTTAAAACTGTGATCCTCGGTTTTTAATTATCTTTACTACATAATCGCCGATCTTTTGTGATAACATAACTGTAGCTCTATGAATTGATAGGGCATGTACTTTTCTCGATGGACGATCATAGCTTCCTGTTGACGCTAGTTAATTTTAAACGTTTATGGATTCATCGAGAAACTTCATTTAACAAATTTACAATGGGTTCGCACAACTGAACTGCTATCACGCAGGATTTAATCCTATGTAATTTATACCATTTATTTATATTTAAAGCCAAGTGATCAATGTTGCAGCTTGGGCATTGTTCCCAATAAAGAACTGAATACAGAAAGGTTGACTTGTAATTAACGTGGAGTACACAGTAGATCTTTAAGGAATTATAGATACAGTTCCTTCCTTGTTTAGAACTTTCTTCTTCTAACACAAGTTAAGAAACAACTTTATTGATAATATGCTGATGATAAGATGCGAATTCAGGATTTTCCGAAAGTTCTCAACTTATGAATGTTACGCCTATGATTTTGATTTTTAGAGAAAGTTGACTAGCTAACTGATTGATCGATGGTGAATTATGACTTTAGACGTTTGGTGAAAATAAGTTCCTTGATCCGAACCTATTCTAATATGTTTGTCACTACAAAATATCTCAAAATTAGCATCAAAAGGGTCACCATCAAAGCCGGTGTTCGAATCATTTTGCCCCCCAGTGGCTCAACGATAAGTTAGCAGGCTTACAACGCTAAAAATCGGGTTTCGATACCCATTGTGTAGCTGTGCGCTAAACAACAAACAATCAACCAATCGAATCATTTTGTAAATGCAAAACTTCGGTTGTAAATACTTTTGGTCTTTCTATAACCGGCATGGCCTGGTGGTCAGTGCGCTCGATTCGCAATCTGAGGGTCGCGGGTTCGAATCCCCGTCCCACCAAACATGCTCACCTTTTCAGCTGTGGGAGCGTTATAATGTGACAGTCAATCCCACTATTCGCCCAAGAGTTGGCGGTGGGTGGTGATAACTAGCTGCCTTCCCTCTATTCTTACACTGCTAAATTAGGAACGTGCTAGCGCAGATAGCCCTCGTGTAGCTTTGCGCGAAATTCAAAACAAACCAAACCTATAACTAAGTTATGTGCTGCATTTTGATAATTCGATTTTGAAGAAACAAAACGTCAGTGTTGACCCCGGATATCGTACTGTAATGAATTATGTATTATTACATAAAATATAGGTTTTTCTCATATATGTATTTAAAGTTAAAATGAAATTGGCCGTTCTTTGTTAAACTTGAAGAAAGAGTACTTGAAAGTAAACATTATAAACTATTTTTAGTAATACTGGTGTGTGGCGGAGGTTAAGAAAAGTTAAGAGAGCTAATTATAAAGCAAATACTCAAACCGCAATGAAATTCAGTAGTGGATAAGCGCATAATGACTCTTACGCATGCGTACTAATGATGGTCTACTCATGATAAAATTGCCAGCTTTAAATAATTACATTGAAAGTAGTTGAACTAATTAAAATATTACACAGGTATCTTGATAACGATTTAAAATTATTTAATCAAGACTCTAGCTGACAGTTGTTTTGATAATGTTACGACGTTTTAATGAATAGCCGTGTTTTTCAAGGGTTTTGTAAATGTCAATATTTTTGGATATTTTTCAACCAGCAGTAAGGTATACACCCACCAACCTCTTCACTTGGTTATCTAAACTTTTTAATTTGATTTGTAAGTAGGGTAACAAAGATGGCGTCAACTCTCTTGGGTTTTCACATAACCCTGTAGTTTTCGATGACAACGGTACACACTTCAACCCTGGTAGCCAAGAGCAGTCTGGATTTAGCAGATTCTCACACTTAAAAGGCTTCCTCGCTCTTGAATTTTGACAGTTTCGAGTGGCGACAGCTGTAGAGAGTTTAGGAAAGGTAGCTTTCTAAATGCATTTTTAAGATTTTTTTTTGAGAAAAGCTCCCCCAGTGGCTCAGCAAAATCTGTAGGCCTGTAACGCTAAAATTCGGGTTTCGATACTTTTGATAAGCACAGCAAAGATAGCCCATTGTGTAGGTTTGTGCTTACGCAGCAAACAAAACAAACTTTGAGAAAATTGTGCCACCTACATGTGCCCTAGCAAATATTCTTCTTATAGCACATACAAAATGAATTTTTATTTTACCCTCAGATTACCGACTTTTATATAATTGATATTTGAAACCGTCGGTACTTGGTGAAACACCATAATTATAGAACTGGGGAAAAACAAGACAATTGTACGTTTCACAAATACACCATTTATTATGATCATGGTTTCACCAGTAAATGCATCATCGGGGCTGCAAGGACATGATATCAAGGCTTAATAAATGTCCTGCAGGCCGTAAGAGTTTCCTTGGGTAACAAACAGGAAGAGATAGAGAGAGTTTGTTTTGAATTTCGCGCAAAGCTACACGAGGGCTATCTGCGCTAGCCGTCCCTAATTTAGTAGTGTAAGACTAGAGGGAAGGCAGCTAGTCATCAGCACTCACCGCCAACTCTTGGGCTACTCTTTTACCAACGAATAGTGAGATTGACCGTCACATTATCACGCCCCCACGGCTGAAAGGGCGAGCATATTTGGTGTGACGGGGATTCAAACCCGCGAACCGTAGATTTCGAATCGAGCGCCCTAACCACCTGGTCATGTCGGGAGAGAAAGTCTCCAAAGATGACATTACGGGTCTGGAGATAAATACATCTAATTCGAATATCTCTGAAATATACTAAGGTATGTGGGAAAGATATATGATCATAAAGCTCGTTAGTTCAACTAGGTGTTGTGAAATATATCGTGAGAGTATGAAGCTCTAGAATTTGCAGTATGTGGTATGACAGAGGCAGAGATCCAGGCTGTGTGACTATAAGTCAGAAAAGGTCAAATGAAAGGTTTATACCAATTCAGAAGGAACTAGAGGGACACTCAGTGGAGCGCATACCACCCTCACGCAACGTTGATCATATTCAGCCTTCATAAAATAAGAAAATATGTCCGTTTATCAACGGACACGGACCATTTTTGTCAGGACAATGGGGAATAATGTACTACATATGTTCACCAAGTTTCATCAGAATCCGATAATTTTTGACTGAGTTATTTTGTGTGAAAATCGGTCCCCATGTTAACAGATAGGGATTTTGTGAATTTTCACGACCTTGCTGTGACCATTATCTTTAACCTTGACCTTCCAAAAACTAGTCACTTCTAACTTAGGTCATAGTCCAAATGTATACCAACCTTTGTCCAAATTTCAGCCGGTTTCGAGAAATCCTGCTAACAAACACACACACATAAAGAAAATACACAGGGGTAAAAGCATAACCTCCGTCACCTTCGATGGCGGAAGTAATGATAAATTTATGCCCCAGGAAGTTTCCTTCAATTTTCGGAGCAAATGGAGTTGAGAGGAGGCCTTTCGTCCAAGATTTGCCTGGAGGGATTTCCAGGTGAAGTGTTTGTCAAATATGACTCCAAAGTATTTGAATGTATCGGAGAACCATATGGGAATATCCTCAAACGAAGATGATTCACGACATGGTTGAAACTTATAAGAGAAAGGTTTTGGTTCTGCTAATATTAATGGTAAGGCGCAAACGGCATTTCCAAATAAAGATAGCATTGACTGCAGCCTGAAGTCTTTGTTAAGAGTGGCCATTGTCTTGTAGATGACAACGAGAACTATATCATCAGCGTATTGAAATAGATAGACTAAATATTTAGGGAGAGGCATATCAGCAACATATAGAATGTAAAGCAGAGGTGACATAATCGAGCCTTGTAGAACTTCAGAGCCTAAGGAAGAGGGACGAGTATGAATTCCCTCAATGAAGACAGTTGTACACCATTCAAGAAGTAAGGTGCTATGAGCTAGATTAAAGTGATTTGATGAGGCCACAATGTCAAACAGAATCAAAAGCCCATTCAAAGTCAAACAACGGCATACATGAAGATTTAGATGAACCAAAATGATTTGAGATGATGTCAGAAAGTCTTAGAGGTTGATTCAAAGTTGAAAGGTGATTGTGAAAACCAGCTTGAGTACTGGGGAGTAAGTTATGGCCTGGAATAAACGTACGCAGTATCCAAACGAAAATTCTACTGAGGGCTTTACTAAGGTCCCATCAGGCTGATGGGACGATATGTACAAGTAAGTTTCAAAAGATTAAGATAATGGAAATCTTCCAAGAAAGAAGATGAAAATGTCTGTGGAATACAAAGCTGAAAACATTATAAGAAGAATAAGGAACCTCACTGGAGCGTACTAAATATGTTATACCATCTGGAAGAAGAGAGAGTGGAGGGTACTTACAGTGTCAATGTGTTATACCATCTGAAAGAAGAGAGAGTGGAGGGTACTTACAGTGTCAATGTGTTATACCATCTGAAAGAAGAGAGAGTGGAGCGTACTTACAGTGTCAATGTGTTATACCATCTGAAAGAAGAGAGAGTGGAGCGTACTTACAGTGTTAATGTGTTATACCATCTGGAAGAAGAGAGAGTGGAGCGTACTTACAGTGTCAATGTGTTATACCATCTGGAAGAAGAGAGAGTGAAGCGTACTTACAGTGTCAATGTGTTATACCATCTGGAAGAAGAGAGAGTGGAGCGTACTTACAGTGTCAATTTGTTATACCATCTGGAAGAAGAGAGAGTGGAGCGTACTTACAGTGTCAATGTGTTGTACCATCTGAAAGAAGAGAGAGGCAGTGTTTCGTTTATTGTTGATAACTATTTGAATATCATGAACAGTAACGAATGTACTCAGAGAACTGCCCTCCAATTTATGAGTAGTAGGAGCGAATGAGCTCTGGAAGGAAAGGTAAATTTGACAAAGGATATCTGTTACATTTTCATGGTCCAGTGAATGTTGATCGAGAGTGCAATTCCAGAAAGAAGGCAAAGATATCTGCTTTTTCAGCTGTGGAAGTAGTCGATGATGCAATATGTTGATCCTACCAGTAGTGAACGGTGTTTAAACAAGTGGATAAATTAAGTTTCTTTTGTTTGTTTTTTTGCAATGTTATTCAAAAGTTTGTTGGGCAAAGCTATACAGGGCTACCTGCGTTAAGAATCCCTAATTTTGAAGTAATAAACTAGAGGCAAGGCAACTAGCCAATACCACTCACCGCCAACTCTTGGGTTACAGATGTCAGACCAAATAGTAGGAGTTGACTGTCACTCTTATAACACACCCATGACAATATTGAAATAATAATAATGGGAGTATGACTTATTTATCATTATTATCTTAACGGTAACGAAGCGCCAACTACATTAGGGATCTAGCAAAAGCTTTATTTAAATCTTTTAATTTAAAACAAGTTTAATTTGTCTCCCGGTGGCTTAGCAGAAATTCTGAAGACTTATAACATTAAATACCAGGTTTTGGTTACACGTTGTAGGCACAGCACAAATAGTTTATTGTGTAGCTTTTTGCTTAACAAACGACGTTTAATTTGTTTCAAGTTTAAGCAGCTTCGTCATTTGTTGAAAGAAGCTACTTCTTCCAATTTTTTGAGTGCTGGTGTTTCGTAAAATTTAAAAACATATCAGTTAATTCGATTTTGAAACTTTATTTTAATTTATATTAGTTTTGTTTTAATGTATATAGATTTAATTATTATGCCTACGGTACTTATTCACGTACGTGGATTTCATTAATAATGTTACGACAGCGGAAGTCATGTGACGCTAGTAACACGTCATGAGATTCTAGAACGATCGGGGAACATCACGAATAATCCAGTATTTGCTAGGCGCCCTCTATTCTTGTATATAAGTGCGCCAGATAAAGCAAGACAATCAATCGGAATTGTAGGGCAGACAGAGATAGAGACTGACAACTGAGTCAAGCGCGGTAGTAGGCGTGAATCGTTCGTTGCGAATTATAGCGTTTGTTAAGTTATTAAAGTGACTGTGGAAATTAAATGTATTGCAAAGTTGTATTGAGAAAGAAT